AAATTGAACGGCACACCCTCAAATTTCCATCAATACAGGAATTATTTGCTCATCCCAGTACGTCTGCATATTATCTGATGTAAAGATGGGACGCAGCTCCGTTTTGAAAATTGTACGATTCGTGTCTCAAAAATTATAAGAGTCAAATGCTTGAGACCGTCATTTACGGTCTTCTTCGATTTTGGGAACAATAACAAAAATTATTTCGTCTAAAATTAATTTTTTTGCAAGAAAACATTTTTCTCATATTTTCGAATTCAAAATTTACATTTTAATTTTGTTTTATTTGAATCTATAGTTGTCAAAATCATTTTGACAGACGTTGTCAAATGTACAATTTTGAAAAAAATTGTAAACACATGACTGCATGACTTTACCTTCTAAATTCTACCATGAAGTTTCCGAACTGTCTCCGTATATCACTGAGCTCTTTTCACAGATGAAATGAAAATAAACCTTTTTGGATCAGTGAAAGAAGATTGGCTTGGCTCAAACTTCGTTGTGAATTTAAGGACAGGGCTATACAATTCATTTTGTTGAGGGGATAATGGATTCAAAATATTACATTGAAATTCTAAAACCACCAATGCACTGTGGGTAAAAAGCATGATTTTTTGGCATAAAGTCATTTTTTTTTTTTTTTTTGGTTTCATATTTTGAAATTTAACTGATTTCCTAAATGTAGATACCCATATTAGAAAAAAAAAATATTTAATATCAATGCGGGTGACAACCCTTTTTTGCTGACGAGCTTTTAAAGTCAGCTAAGTTCAAGTGCTTGTGTTTTAACAAAATTGAAAAAAGTTACAATGTGTAATTATGGAAAACGTTAGTGCAGGTATATAAAATTAAGACGAGATGCCCTTTTCGTCATGATTATATGTTGTAACTTGTGAATGGCAAAACATTGCAAAAAGGTATAAATCCCAAGTTATTAACAAAAGTGTGTTAATTTATGAGTAACTAGCCTCTTTTGTTCTATTTTGTGCCAACACGTGTTTTGCAGATAAACATGTGTTTGCCCATGAAGCGCTTATTGAAATTTGGAGCAGCAACAATCGCTCAGAAGATACACTTGTGAAATATGTGTTACAGAATATCAATAAGATCAGTTTAAATGAAGACCAAATGCGCTTGATATCAAAACAAGTTAAAGATTTTGTTAATTATATAAAAATGCATTTGCCAAAGTGCATCCGTAAACTAGAGCGATTTAAAACTAAACATTCAAAATGGCTTAGCAAAAGTATAATTATTGTAATGAATGAGCAGTATGTTTCCCCAAATCATCTTGGGAGAATAAAAATGTACACAAAAAAAATTTCACTTCAATAGCTTCATAAACAAAAAAGATGGATCAAATCGGCCAGATCGGCTATATAGCAGCTATATGAAATAGTGCCCCAAATCATATGAAAATTCGTAGGTCATCTTGGGGGCATAAAAAATGAATACAAACCAAATTTCAATACAATAGCTTTAAAATTAGAGTTTATGCCAAAATAAACGTAAAAAAAACCATAGTGCAATGGTAGGTTCCAGTATATGTGCATTATTTATATATATATTTGAAAAATTGAATTGGTTTTTCGCACATCCAACTTGCTATCAATGTAAATACCCTGCAGCACTTTTTTCAACCGGTTGACCAAATATTTAGTTATAAATGCATTATTCTAAAAATAACTACAAATTGGCTGGAAAGTCATCTGGAGATCAAAAAGCGAAGTAACCACTACTGGTTGATATTCAGACGACTTTTCAACCAATTTGTAGTTAGTTGAAGAACAATGCATTTATGGACTAACTTCCCTGAGGGACTTTTCGCAACTGGTTGATATTATCTTTAGTTTTAAATGTATTATTTTACAACTAACTACAAATTGGTTGAAAAGTCATCTGGAGATCAACCGCTTCAAACATCAAAACAAAAATAAATTGCAAAAACAAAATACATATAAGTTCTCTATCTCTCAAGAGATCACACCACAAAAAGCAAAAACCGTTAGAATTGCATTCCAGGAATAACAAAACACTTTGCTGAGCGATAAAAAGAAAAAATTAAGTCATTTATATTAAGATTTGAACAGATTAAAACGCGTAAGTTGTGGAAAGAAAAGTGAAATATAAAAAGGGTAACAAGTCCCATCTACGAAAATTAATTAAATCCCAAAGGGTGGAATATATAAATTTATTAAATACTGGAACGCCTTTGGGGGAAAGTGAAAAAAGTGTGGAGTTATCATAGAGGCTGAAAAGCGTAAAAAGGTATCAAGTGAAAATGTATTTATAGAAATAGAGAACGGTATACCAGAATATCCAGGCGATTATATAAACAAAAAGACTTTTTGAAACAGACATAGGCTATAAGAAGACGTGGACCTGCACAGACAATTTTCTGTATTAGGCTGTAGTATCCCTTTCGAACTGCAAAAACCAAATTTGAAACAATTCCGGTGAATAATGTCGCTAAAATCATCATAATACCGAATATCGGGGGGTACCGTTATATGGGGGCTATACGAAGACGTGGACCTACATGGCCGATTTACGAACTTAACTTGGCTACTGGAAAAATAAACATGTGTGCAAAATTTTAGCCATCTATCTGTACTCGTTCGAAAGATAGCGTGATTACAACAGACAGACGGACATCGCTAAATCGACTTAGAATTTTACGCTGAATTTCTGAAGTTTTTTGCCGAACGTTATAATTGACGTTAATATGGTCTAAAGGATTATCAAAATGTATTTGAATGCCTAATGGACACCTTGCGAACACAGAAGGAAGACCCATACAAAGAAGACCCGTCAAAAAAGTGTGCATTGAAAAAAACAGTAAAACAATTTTGTATAATTTTTGAAATATATATTTGTTTTAAAAATAGAATTGAATTCCAACAAGTAAAAAAGCAGTATGTTCGGCCGTGCCGAACTTTGAATACCCTACACCATTTGGAACGAATTCGGACATTTTCAAAAAAAAAATAAAATCCATTAAAAATTCTGTTAAAATCTTTAAAATACCTAACATCGGAAGGTGCCGATATATGGGTGGATACACGATATTGTGGACATATATAGACAATTCTTTTTCTGGCGGTAAAGTACTCACAAAGAACTCCTTGTGTAGAATTTCAGACGATTCCATTTAAAAATGTGGCTAAACTCATCAAAATACCGAATATCGGGGGTACCGTTATATGGGGTTTATATGATCTTCTGGACCTATAGAGACAATTCCGTTTTAGGGGGTAAAGTGCTCACAAAGAATTTCCCCCCGGGGGGGGGGGGGGGTGTAACGTTACATGGGGGCTGTACGATATCGTGGACCTATATAGATAATTCTCCGTCAAGGGATAAAGTACTCACAAAGAACTCCTTGTGTGGATTGTTATACAATTCCATTGAAAAATGTGGCTTAAATCATCAAAATACCAAATATCGAGGGGTACCGTTATATGGGGGATATACGATATCGTGGACCTATATAGATAATTCTATTTCGGGGGGTAAAGTGCTCACAAATAACTCCTCTTGTGGATTTTCAGACTATTCCATTAGAAAACCTGGCTAAAATGATCAAAATACCGAATATCGGGATGTACCGTTATATGGGGGCTATACGATATCGTGGACCTATATAGATAATTCTCTGCCAAGGATAAAGTACCCAGAGAGAACTTCTTGTGTGGATTCTCATACAATTTCATTGAAAAATTTGGCTAAAATCATCAAAATACCGGATATCGGGGGGTACCGTTATATGGGGGCTATAAGATATCGTGGGCCGATATAGCCCATCTTCGAACTTGACCTGCCTGAAGACAAAAGAGAGATCTGTGCAAAATTTTAGCTTTCTATCTTCATTCGTTTTGACTGTAGCGTGATTACAACAGACGGACGGACATGGCTAAATCGTCTTAGAATTTTACGCTGATCAAGAATATATATACTTTGTTGGGTCGATGAATTGCAAACGGAATGAGGAACTTCATGTACCCTCCATACGATGTATGGTGGAGGGTATAAAAAGGCAGGCCGAAATTCAGTTCAGTTTTAAAATGCAAATTAGATCTGTTTAAAAAAAAACGTTAAATTCATTAAAGTACTGTGTGAAATGTATTTACTGAGAACATGAAAAAATAAGTTAAAACACTTATATTAACAAATGCGGCTAAATCATCAAAAAACTGAATACCTCGATTTGCCGATATATGATATGGTCGCAACAGGAAAATGTGGATATGTTCTGTCACAGTAGGTAGAACACATTACGAATTCTAACTACTTATTTTCAAATAATTCCATTAGCAAATATGGCATAACGAACTTTAGGAGTAACATTGTGAAAGGTGATCAACTATAAATACTTTATTGGTCCTAACGTGACTACTTTGAGGATTTACAAACAGTATAAAGAAGCCAATTTAATAAAAGAGCAATATATATATATATATATATATATATATATATATATATATATATATATATATATATATATATAAATCAATTGTTGTTCGTTGGTAGTGGAATCACTTGAGAACGGCTGAACCGATTTGTATAATTTTTTATACAAACGTTCGCAATACCCCGAGTTAGGTTTAAAAAAAATATTGACCAAGCCTACTTTTACGCACACTATTTAGATTTATCTAAAATCCTTATATACTGTAGACTTTTCCTCCAATTCTAAGTATTTATTTGGGGGATGAGGAACTGACCACGGAACTGACTTTTTAATCTATATATAAACCAATTGTTGTTCGTTGGTAATTGAATCACTTGAGACCGGCTGGAACTATTTCAATATTTCTTTTTAATGTTCGTCCTAACCCGATTTAGGTTTTTATGCAAAGAAAAAGTGACCCAATTTTGCGCCCATTTTTTTTATTTATCTTAAATCCTAATATTTGCCAAAATCATGAAGATATCTGTTCCACAATTGGTATACGACGTAGCCTTGCCTCTCCCCCCCCCCAACCATACAACAGGGACAACAGGGAAACAGAAAAAATATATAATGATGTAGAAAGTGATGCAAAAAAAATTGTAAAAATACGAGTTGATGAAGAGAATTTTCAGCCGCAGAAAGCGCAATACGACAGTAAAAGCATAACTAAACCATCTAACGAAAGAAAAACAATATTCGGAAGTTTCGACATGGATATTGAATATACTGACTCGGCAGTATTCCAGAAGATAACTGAAAATGAGATATCTTGTTACTACGGTGTCGGCCAGAAAACACACAATGCTATATACATTAGTCAACTTGATCCATCGGACAAATTACGCCCTAAAATCGATATGGAAAACCAAAAGTTGTCTAGACAAACAATATACTGCGTAAATGATATGGAACTTGAGAATTATGAAGGCGACACAAATTTAGAAACAAAAAGAAGTTATGGTGGCGTACAAAATGATAACCTGTTTCTAGAACCAGATGACATGGTTCTTGAAAAGTCCATTAATCGTTATCACGTAATAGAAGAACCTGGAACGAAGAAAACTCTTGAACGAGAATTTGAAACAAGTACAACAACTTGTTTGAACGACTACACTAAAGGTCCACTCGAGATATGTGAACAAGTAAGATGAAATTAAATATATTTATTTTTTTTTTAATAAATCCGAACCATATATTTTAGAACACTTGTAGTAACCTAATTGACAAAGCAACGTCATCAGAAAATTATAGCCGAAATCAAAAGAAAACAAGAAGAACTCGGATTTTAAACGAAAGTATTGATTTTGAGCCGTCCGAGAACGGCAGATTAGTTGCAAATAAAACATTAGCAGAACGTTACACCAAAAATATAACTGATACACGTATCTTAGATGAAAGCATCAATGTCATCTTTCATGAGAAAGATGCAAATGAAAATGCTAATTCTCGTACTAAAGGAGATAATATGGTACATAATGACATTATGAATGAAATGAGCGCCAATAATGAATTAGATGTCTCAGCCCTATCGCTCTCGGGGTGCTCGACAAATTGTCGGTTAAAATATTCCGCGCACCTCTTCGGATCAGTCACCGTTACGTGGTTAAAAGTGACTGAGGTCCTATCATCCTTTTTTCCAGGGTTCGAGAGCGACTTAACCGTTACCCACAGCTTACTCATATCAGTTACAGGTTGCAGCACTTCAGATGGTCTTGCCACTTTTTCCTCTTATGCTCCTGTACCTACCGGTTGACTTCCACTGTCAAATCATTGATTCTAGGATCAGTGGGGTTGGTACGACGGAGATCATCACGTTCGTTTGCTAATCCCGCTGCCTCTGCTGGGAAATTTGGTCTTATCTCGGGTATTCGAACAGCAGGTATATAGCGAGCGGCTGCAGCTTTGATGATGTCAGACGAACTGGCCACACCTACTTTGAATAACCTCCACCTTTTGGAACGAATTAAAAAAATTTTCAAAAAAATAAAATGCTTAAAAAATTCTGTTAAAATTTTAAAAATACCAAATATAGCCGTCTATTGGGGTTTATACGACGTGGACCTACATAGGCATTGTTTGTCATAAGCCATTACCATATTCAAACTCGAAACTTGAAGTAAACAGTGAATAATGTAGCTAAAATCATCAAAATATCGTATATAAGGAGGTGCCGTTAAATTTGAGCTGTGCAAAGACCTGGACCAGCATAGACAATTTTCTGTCACAGGCTGTAGCATCCATTACGAACTTCAAATACCACATTTCAAACAATTTCGGTGGGTATTGTACCTAAAATCGTCAAAATACCGAATATGGGGAGGTACTGATATATGGGTTTATTTATTTATTCAAGTTTATTTCAAGTTTCCAATTTGAATATGGTAATGGCTTATGACAAACAATGCCTATGTATGTCCCATGGTTGTAGAATATAGGTAGACGCGTTGACACAGCTGCTGGGACAATGAACTGTCAAACCAATTTTGGAATTGAAAACGTTGAATGAAAAACTATTTAAATTTGTAAAAATGTCTGAAAAACGCGAAATTTACTAGCCTCCGAATGACGTAGTATAAGAAAACATATAAAAATCTACTTATATTTGAAAAAAGCTTTTAAATTTTGTTGACATATCAATGCTCCCTACCTGTGTACAAAATAGTTTGTACATACTTTTGAGTGCGGTTGAGGCGCTGGGAAAAACTAGCAATAAACAATCAATATTCAAAAATTACATATTTCCCAGCCGCCATAAAACACCACAGTGAACAATTCGGTGATCTTGTGCGCTGACGCATACGATAATGTGTGAGATAATAAAGGCTATGACCCACACGCACAGATATCAATGCGCTCAGTAGATGCACAAGACCACTTGAATGAAATGACAAGCAGCCCTACAATGTTCTCCATTCAGTATTAGAATAGATAAGAATAATTGTGTGGCTGCGATTAGGTTAAGATAGATTAGTTTCAGTAGTACTTAAGGAATATACTTTTAAATAAAAACCAGAATTGAAATAACACCTTAACGAAGCGGTCGTGTTTCTTTTCTCAGTGAACACAGAATAGAGTTGAGAGTCGAAGAGGGAGATTGGACTATATTCTTATCATTAAAAACATTGATCCTCCGAGCAGGATCCAAAACAGAATTGAATCTACAGCCTAACCATTCGGTTGGTTTTCTCTTCTCACTCAACCTGTATTCTTCTGCCATGGTATGTCCACGCCGTATAGACCCCAATATAACGGCTATATTCGGTATTTTTAAAATTTTAACAGAATTTTATAAGGATTTTATTTTTCAAAAATTTCCAAATTCGTTGCAAGTGGTGGAGGGTATTAAAAGTTCGGCCCGGCCGAACTTAGTGCTTTTTATACCCTCCACCATACTATGGAGGGTATATTAATTTTGGTCATTCCGTTTGAAACTCCTCGAAATACTCATGTCAGACCCAACAAATTATATATATTCTTGATCAGCGTAAAATTCTAAGACAATTTAGCCATGTCCGTCTGTCTGTCTGTGTGTCTGTCTATCTGTCTGTTGTAGTCACGCTATCTTTCGAATAAATTGAGATAGAAGGCTAAAATTTTGCACACATGTATATTTTGCCAATAGGCAGGTTAAGTTCGTAAATGGGCCATGTAGGTCCAAGTTATCATATAGCCCCCATATAACTGTACCTCCCGATATTCAGTATTTTGATGATTTTAGCGACATTATTCACCGGGATTGTTTCAAATTTGGTATTTGAAGTTCGTAATGGATACTTAATCCCAAGTCAAAAAATGAGCCATGTACGTTTACGTCTTCGTATAGCCCCCATATAAGGGTACCCCCCGATTTTCGGTATTTTGATGATTTAAGCGACATTATTTAGAGAAATCGTTCAAAATTTGGAATTTAAAGTTCGTAATGGATACTATGGCCTTAGACAGAAAATTTTCTGTGCAGGTCTACGTCTTCGAATAGCCCCCATATAACGGTACCCCCCATATTCGGTATTTTAATGATTTTAACTACATTATAAACAGATTTTTCTTCAAGTTTCACATTTAACTTATTGTAATAACTTATGACAAAATATGCCTATGCAGGCCCACGTCGTCGTATAAGCACTCGGTATTCTTAAGATTCTTTAACGGATTTTATTTATTGGAAATTGCCAAATTTGTACCACATGGTGGAGGGTATTAAAAGTTCGGCCCGGCCGAACTTACAGCTTTTTTACTTGCTTTTTACTGACTTTAAATCGGTTAAAAGTATCTGGTATCTACTTTCAAAGTAATGCAGGAATGGTCAATTGTCCACTAATTGTAAAATTCTAAGTCGATTTAGCCATGTCCGTCTGTCTGTCTGTCTGTTGTAATCACGCTATCTTTCGATCGAATTAAGATAGAAGGCTAAAATTTTGCACACGTGTTTATTTTTCCAGTAGGCAGGTTATGTTCGTAAATGGGCGATGTAGGTCCACGTTTTCATATAGCACCCATATATAAGTACCTCCCGATATTCGGTATTTTGATGATTTTAGCGACATTATTCACCGGAATCGTTTCAACTTTGGTATTTGAAGTTCGAAAAGGATACTACATCCTATGACAGAAAATTGTCTGTGCAGGTCTACGTCTTCGTATAACCCCCATACAACGGTACCTCCCGATATTCGGTATATTGATGATTTTAGCGACATTATTTACCGGAATTGTTTCAAATTTGGTATTTGAAGTTCGAAATGGATACTACAGCCTAAGTCGGAAAATTGTCTGTGCAGGTCTACGTCTTCGTATAGCCCCCATATAATGGTACCTCCCTATATTCGGCATTTTGATGATTTTAGCGACAATATTCACCGGAATTGTTTCAACTTTGGTATTTGAAGTTCGAAATGGATACTACAGCGTATGATAAAATATTATCTGTGCAGGTCCACGTCTTCGTATAATCCCCATACAACGGTACCTTCCGATATTCGGTATTTTGATGATTTTAGCGACACTATTCACCGGAATTGTTTCAAATTTGGTATTTGAAGTTCAAAATGGATACTACAGTCTTAGTCAGAAAATAGTCTGTGCACGTCCACGTCTTCGTATAGCCCCCATATAACGGTACCTCCCACAATTTTGATGATTTTAGCATCATTATTTACCGGAATTGTTTCAAATTACGTATTAAGAGTTCGTAATAGGAACTACAGTCTGTGACAGAAAATTGTCTATGCATAGGCGCCATATATATCAGTACCTCCCTATATTCGGAATTTTGACGAGTTAAGGTACAATACCCACCGAAATTGTTTGAGATGTCGTATTTGACGCTCGTAATGGATGCTATAACCTGTGACAGAAAATTGTCTTTGCTGGTCCAGGTCTTCGCACAGCTCCGATACAACGGTACCTCCCTATATACGATATTTTGATGATTTTATCTACATTAGTCACCGTTTATTTCAAGTTTCGAATTTGAATATGGTAATGGCTTATGACATACAAGGCCTATGTAGGTCCACGTCGTATAGACCCCTATATAACGGCTATATTCGGTATTTTTAAAACTTTAACAGAATTTTTTAAAGATTTTATTTTTTAAAAAATTCCAAATTATTTCCAAATGGTGGAGGGCATTCAAAGTTCGGTCCGGCCGAACTTACTGCTTTTTAACTTGTTTTAAACTAATTTAAACTTAGTTTTAAACCAATTTATTTCCCCGCATGGTACATTGTTTTTATACCCTCCACCATGCATGCATTATTGAGGGTATACTAAGTTCGTCATTCCGTTTGTAACTCATCGAAATAATCATTTTAGACCCAACAAAGTATATATATTCTTGATCAGCGTAAGATTCTAAGACGATGTAGCCCTATCCGTCCGTCTGTTGTAATCACGCTACAGTCAAAACGAATGAAGATAGAAAGCTAAAATTTTGCACAGATCTCTCTTTTGTCTGCAGGCAGGTCAAGTTCGAAGATATCGGCCCACGATATCTTATAGCCCCCATATAACGGTACCCCCCGATATCCGGTATTTTGATGATTTTAGCCAAAATTTTCAATGAAATTGTATGAGAATCCACACAAGAGAATCCACTACAATCATCACCACCCACAAATAGCAACAACACCATCATCAAACATCATCACCACCCACTAACAACACATTACACTCATCACAATATCACCTAAAACCAATAACTGCAACAACTTTACCAAAAACAACAAACATCACCTACAACCATCCTAACTATTTATTAACAATATTATTTCTTTATTATACTTACCCATTTATTTTAATATTATAAAAATTAATTTCTTTATTATAATTTTCTTTCGTCAATTTATTTTCTTTAATTTAATCATAATTATTTTCAATTCAATTCACTCTTCTGAACATATAATTAGTTACTTACATTATTTTTATATTAATTTATAAAAATCAATTATTGTACGTATACTAATTACCATGAGTGTAGCCAAAAATACCAACTTCAGTGGTCTTTGGGAAGCAGTTGTAAAATCTGTTAAATATCACTTGAAAAGAATTACAAATTATAGAAATCTAACCTTTGAAGAATTAACAACTCTTTTATGCCAAATTGAAAGTTGTCTCAATTCTAGCCCACTTTGCCCATTATCTTCTGATCCGTCAAATTTTGAAGCTATTGCTCCAGCGCATTTTCTTATAGGTGAGCCTACAAATAGCTTACAAGAAGAAACGCTTTTGGATTCTAATATCAATAACCTAACCCGTTGGAAAACTATTGAAAAAATAAAGCAACACTTTTGGAAAAGATGTCAAAACGAATACCTAAATAGCCTTCAAGCTCGTCCAAAATGGCTCAGAACGGATCCTAAAATTGGAGATTTGGTACTTGTCACTGATGAAAAATGTGGACCTGGACAATGGATAATTGGCCGTATTGAAAATACACATCCAGGACCTTATGGACATACAAGGGTGGTATCTGTTCTTATAAAAAACAAACTTGTTAAACGACCAATTTCTAAAATCAGTTTACTTCCAGATAATTCACCTCATTCTGACCCTGATATGGACGATACCGCAAAACAACTTTAAATAGTTTACATGTCATTTTCTTGGATGTATGGTTGCTAATATGCTGACTACACTACCACGCTGTGAGTCGGAGCATAGCGGAGGTTTCTACCTCGACTAAAATACTCCCATCGGTAGTTCATCATATCATAGTAACCCGCATTCAAGCACATTCGTCCTTCAGGGGGGAGAATGTTAATAAAAACCTCATCAACCCACTACAATCATCACCATCCACAAATAGCAACAACACCATCATCATCAACAAACATCATCACCACCCACTAACAACACATTACACATTTATCACCTAAAACCAATAACTGCAACAACTTTACCAAAAACAACAAACATCACCAACAATCATCCTAACTATTTATTAACAATATTATTTCTTTATTATACTTACCCATTTATTTTAATATTATTTATAAAAATTAATTTCTTTATTATAATTTTCTTTCGTCAATTTATTTTCTTTACTTTTATCATAATTATTTTCAATTCAATTTACACTTCTGAACATATAATTAGTTACTTACATTATTTTTATATTAAATTATAAAAATCAATTATTGTGCGTATACTAATTATCATGAGTGTAGCCAAAAATACCTTTGGTGACCACTCATTTGCCGATTCCCTTTTCTTCTTTTCAACAACAACAACAACACATCGATTACTGATCAGTTGTGTTGTTATGATGGTCGCTTTGATGCTTGCTTGTGCGTCGCGACCCCCTCTCCTACATGCTTTGTTATTCTTATTGCTTAATAACAATGGGAATGCAGAATAGAAGAAGGCAAACGAGATGGTACACAACCAACTACACATGTATGCATACATATTTATGTGTGACCGATGCATGCCTAAGCCTTTCTTGTTACAAAATAAATATGTAAAAGAAATGGAATTAGCATGATTGGCCTAGGTAGTGCTAATATGCAAAAGAAGATAAATGTATATAAATGCAAAACAGCTGTTGCATATTATGTACATTTTTCGTTTGGTGATTTTTGGCTACCAAACAAAGTAGTTTAAGTTGACTCGCTCTCTTTTTAATTGGACAGCCGAGCGATCAACAGCTAAGTACTTTTGCTTAAACACCAGTAACCTTTACAAAATACTTTTAAATAAATAAATCAATTCTGTGCAACCCTTGTTTACTTGAAAGAAAATTACTTTGTTTTCTTTTTTACTTTGCATAATTAAACAAGGGAAAATAACTCAACAGTCCGTCTGTTGTAATCACGCTACAGTCTAAACGAATTAAGAAAGGAAGCTAACATTTTTCACAGATCTCTCTTTTGTCTGCAGGCAGTTCAAGTTCGAAGATGGGCTCGGTCCACGATATCGTATATCCCCTATATAACGGTACCCCTCGATATTCGGTATTTTGCTGATTTTAGCCACATTTTTCAACGGAATGGTCCAAAATTGTACACAAAGTGTTCTTTGTGAGGACTTTACCCCCCGACAGAGAATTTTCTATATAGGTTAACGATATCGTATATCCCCCATATAAAGGTAACCCCCGATATTCGGTATTTTGATGATTTTAGCCACATTTTCCAATGGAATTATCTGAAAATCCACACAAGGAGTTCCTTGTGAACACTTGACACCCAGACATAGATTTGTCTTTATAGGTCCACAATATCGTATATTCCCCCATATATCGGCACCTATATTAGATATTTAAAGAGTTTAAAAAAATTTTTAATGGATTTTATTTTTTTGAAAATTTTCTAATTCGTTCCAAATGGTGAAGGGTAGAAATTGGTCCGATTTTCTAAACGTTTTTTTTTTTTCGATTTTCTGCACATTTTCCTGCGTTTTAAGCGAAAAAAACTCGAAAAGTATCCAAACGGAGAGTAGACTGTATATTGCTCCGGCAAATTCTCTTTCACATGAAAACGAATTGTAGTTGTTGTTGTGATCATTCGTTTCAAGCAGTGTAGCCATTAGCATATTTGCAGCTAAATTTAGCATTTATTTTTTGTATTTAGCCGCAAAATTTTCATTTAGCATTTTTCTTAGCTTTGAAATTATTACTTTAGCATTTCTTTGTCCAAAATTTTTCTTATATTTTAGTACTTCCTTATAAATCCAATTTTTTCTAAAATCTAAAAAATTAAATTACATGCACATTTTGAACGAAATTACTATTTTAGAAAGCAATGGCAAAAGCTGAGTACATATGAATGGGCAAACATAAAATCAACCATTCATTTTTGGATATGTGTATAAGAAGAAATGTTTTAAATGAGAACCCGTTCAAAGAAGTGTCTTCTTTTGTTATGTAGTGTCTAGTTTTATCATTTAGTAACGCAGAAGTTGGAGGAGTTTTCAGTGGCATTAATCTTATAAAAGCAGAAATTAGAAATAGAATGATATTATACACTATGAATAATTTGCATTAGATGCGGATTGAAAAGGTTAAATAAGGTTGCAAAAGTTTCAAGATTACAAACGATCTCATTCTAATCATCATTCGGTCTCTAATTTTCATGTAGCAGGACTTAATACATTTTAAGCATATTAAATTTAAAAACAGATGTTGGACCTTACTGGTCCTCCTTCTGAATAAACTTCATGGATCTGGAACCAATTTTTATTTTTCAAAAACCTTTCGTCTTTAGAAAAATTTTATGGTTTGAAAGGAAGCAATGCACATTCTTATAGAATTTGTCCTATATCAAAGCTTAAGAAAAGAGAGTCATGCTAATGTCTATTCAGAATAATGAATTAAGGTTTCTCTATATGAATTGTTGTAAAAAAGATCAGAAGTGCGCCATTCGTGTATTTCCTAATGCGCCTTCAACATTTAGGTGGAATAGAAATATTAGCATTTTTCCCAAAATCCACTCCAAAATCCCCATCCAAAGTGCTTGGCAGGGCCGATACCAAACCCCACTTAAAATTTCCTAAGGATCGGACGATAATTATGACGTATCAGAAAACTTTCAGTTTTTGGTCCATTTGAACCCCATATATTTTGCGATCATCTCCAAATTCATCAGGCTTCTATTCTGACATTAATCCCACCTCCATTCATCATTTCGTGAGGATCGGGCCATAAATGTGGCCTGTATATAATATTATAGTGTTGTAAGGAGGAAAATTATTACAAAATGTAAAATTCAATATTGTAAGTCAATATGAAAATATCTCATGCGACAAAAATGGGACAAAATGGAAAAAAGAAAGTATCACAAAATCAATATTATCATCTTTATTGGAATCTTTTCATGCGTTTTTGTCTAGATTTTTTTCTTTCCCATCAAGAGTGCATTCTGAATTGACAAGATTTGTCAAAATCAGTCCAGCTATTTTTGTGATGTAAGCATTCTAGCGAATATATGTAGCTATATATATCTGATATCTTCCCTATCAACGTCTACGTAACGGTCAGAATTAACCTTTTCGTCTATTTTTAATTTTACCGGATTTAGAATATTCGCTGTTTAATGGGAATTGTTTTAAACACAAAACTTATGGTCTATTTCACCCGCTCAATATTATCCGATGACAATCCAAATTGTAGCCCCATGCTAAATTCCGCGGCGATTGGTTTATAATTGTGACCTGTAGCGTGATTGCAAATTAACATAGCTATATCGGCTCTGCTCAGCGAGATGAAAGATCAATATATACTTTCCTATGTGGGAACCCAACATTTCAAAGTGTTACATAATTTCTGGCCCAATCAAACTTATAATACCCCCAACACATAGTGTTGTTTATATTAAGCATTATTTTTTGGTATTTTAATTTTTTTGTTTGGCATTTTTAGCATTATTTTTATGCTGTTTTAGCAGCAACACTATTTTAAATCTGGTCACACTGGTTTCAAGATCACAACAACTACAAAGCGTAAAGCAAAAATGATATTTTTTATTGTTGTTGTGAACTGTTTGATTTCGTTGTAAAAAAATGTGCGTTTTTATTGTTGTTGTAATGTTCATGCAATGTAAATCAGCCTTTTATCTTTCGTTCTAAGAAATTATGATGGAAAAAAATTCAAAAACAACTGCAAACTTGCTCCACTTGAGTTGTATTAAAGTGTTTTACAAAAATGTTCAAAAAGAGATTTTAAATTCTCTAGAAGGTGTTTCAAATAGAATTATTTATTACAGGCAAGATAAAATAAAAACCATAAAAAATATCGTTTTTGTTTGTTACATTCAATTTCAAATGTTGTTTTTTTCTTGTTTTATAGAGATGCACTGTATATTAGTTCCTATATGTATGTTTCAAAAATAATAATTATAAGATATATAAGATGTAAATGTATTATAGATGTAATATTTAAAATACTTTTTTAATGAATTCTCAAATAAATTGTTTGTTTTTTAAATAAACATGTGTTTTTTAATTTCTAACTGGTGTGACGATTTTTTAGATGTTTCTTCAGAATTCTAACCTATTTCTTTCAGAAAATCGGTATTTTTTTCCGAATTCTGAGCGTTTTTTTTAGAAAATTGGAATTTTATTCCGAATTTTCTTACGAATTCTGGACGATTTCTTTTAGAAAATCTGAATATTTCGCTGAATTTCTTTCCGAATTCTGACCGATTTTTTTCCGAAAATCTAATTTTTTCTCCTATTTGTCCAAGAATTTTCACCGAATCTGGACCGATTACGTCCAGAATATTTTTTAAATTTGTTTAAAATTCGGTATTTGAAATTCGTAATGGATACTACAGCCTAAGACAGAAAATTGTCAGTGAAGGTCCATGTCTTCGTATAGCCCCCATATAACGGTACCTCCCGTTATCCGGTATTTTGATGATTTTAGCGATATTATTCATAGTTTCAAATTTGGTATTTAAAGTTTGTAATTGATACTACAGCCTAAGACAGAAAATTGACTGTGCAGGTTCACGTCTTCATATAGCCCCACATAACGGCACCTCCCGATGTTCGGTGTTTTGATGATTTTAGCGACATTATTCACCGGAATTGTTTCAAATTTTGGTATTTGAAGTTCGTAATGTGTACTTCAACCTATGACAGAAAATTGTCTGTGCAGGTCAACGATTTGGTATCGCCCCCATATATGGTATTCGGTATTTTGATAATTTTACATTATTCACCGAAGTTATTTTTAAGTTTCGCATTGGAATGCTGTAATGGCTTATGGCAAAAGTTGCCTAAGCAAGTGCACGTCGTCGTATAGACCCTAATATAACGGCTACATTAGGTATTTTTAAGATTTAAACATATTTTTTAACGGATTTTATTCGTTCCTATGGTGGAGGATATTCAATATTCGGCCCGGCCGAACTTACGGCTTTTTTAATTGTTTTTCTTTGTCATTGTTAAGATAAAATGAGAAATTAGCGGGACGATTGGAAACGGTATAGATTATCCATAGCTTCAGGAAAATATACCGAAAATCTGTTTTATCCATGGCGATTGGACCATGCTAATATGTTGTCATCACAGTGAGCCCACACTTCCTGTTTACCGTATAAACTCCAGATAAAGATCAAAATGAAAATTTTGTTTCATAAATCCATAGTCATACCCCCACTTTACCGAACCCGTACAACTCAATTTAAAACATGTTTACAACAAACACTCGATTTATTGAAAAAAAATTCCAAATTATTATATGAGTGAGGATATTGAATTCTCTCAATTCTCTAATATTTAAAATAGCATAAACTTTAGGATATTTGTCTGTTCAAAATTGATCCAGAAAAAATGAAAAGCAAACATTATGTGATGACATCAAAAAATGCGAGAATTATCAAGTGAAATTCTTGATATACGATGCAATGTGTTTTCGAAATGTGTTTTTTCCGCGTAAACCAGCATGTTGACTGAGAGCCACCTATATAAAAAAATAATTTTCCAGTGTCTATATTTTCATAAGTGCATGCATTACCCCTGAAAATAAGTATATACTGCTTGATCGATTTTAGCAGCTGTGGACTAGTTACAACATTGTCCTATGTAATGCAGTCACGGACCATGGCATTGTCAATCAAGAATTTTTTGGTTAAGAAAAATAACGGCAAGCGTTCGTTTTTTATCGACTGCTCATAAAGTTGTTGTTTTGCGCAAGCGTTAGTTTTTTTGCAGGCACGAGTTTTTTTTTTGTTTTTTTGCTTTTTTTTTTTTTTTTGGGCACAAATTTGACACTGATTTTTAGTTAGTTTCTGGAAGCGTTGTGCGGTGGTTTATTCGTTTTGTGTGGTGTTAAAATGCAAAGAAAAGAGTGTGTAAACAAAAGAAAAAGATTAAAACGTAAAAAATAATAACTTATAAAAATATATAAATATTTTTATGTAATATAGTTCGTAGAAAAAGAAAATGTTGTAAAAAGACTATTGAATTCAAGTGTTGATTGTGAGCACATTGTAGTAGAAAAAAATGAAAAAACAGATTCTGCAATGGTTGAAATAGAAGAAACAGAAAATGATCATTACAATGCAAATGAGGAATTTGACAAAAGAAACCAATTTATAAGTTCTTTATGGCAATGGCAGTTAAATAGCCGAACATCCTACCAAAACATGAGAAAACTGCAAATAATTTTAAAAAGTTATGGTGTGGATGTGCATCTTTCTCCAACGACACTGGTGCAAAACGTTAGTTCGAGGGCAGATATAATTTCTGTCCCTCCTAGTGAATATCAACATTGCGGCCTGAAAAAATATTAATGAAGGCTGAATAAGTTTTACAAAAATATGAAGGAATAATTTTCGACATTATTATTAATGGTTTACCTATCTTTAAAAGTTCAGGTCTGCAACTTTTGCCAATATTAATTAAAGTTTTTAATATTAGAAAAATAAAGGTGTTTCCTGTTGGTATTTTTAAGGGCAAATAGAAACCTCATGATATAAGTCAGTTCCTAGAAAAACTCGTTGAAAAAATTTGCGACTTACAGGAAAATCACTTGTTTATTGGTGGCAAAAAAAATATTTTTAAAATAAGAGCTGTGATTTGTGATGATTCCGCAAAATCATTCGTTTGTGGGATAGCTCGCCATTCATCTGCAAATGATTGTTCAAAATGTGCCGAAGTGGCCAAAAAAAGACGTACAATTATAGACGATGATGACTTTGCTAAAAGGAAATACAAAAATCGTCACCAACCAACATTTATTCATGTCAAAATACCATTGGAGAAAATAAATTTAAATATGATCAGTCAAGTGGCTTTAGACCCAATGCACGTTATTGATTTAGGGGTAACTATATAAATGTTGATGAAGCGGAAATATATATAATTACTAGTTTCATTAAAAAAATGTATTACTAAAGACTTCACAAGAATGCCTCGTGGTTTGGATGAACTTGCAAACTAGAAAGCTACAAAATTTCATCAATACTTATTGTACACTGTTGTTTTAGTCTTAAAAAACCATATTGGTGATGATTTTTATTACACGTTTTTAGTATTTCATTGTGCAATAAGGCTTTTGCCATGTCCAAAAAAAATTGAAAATTTTTGAAACTCTTTGTTAAAAATTCCAGTGTCATTTTTGGTCCTCAAAACGTTGCTATAATGTGCACAGTTTGATTCATGTATATGAATGCGTCAAACATCACGGTTTGTTGTACAGCTTTTCAGCATATGGTTTTGAGAACCACTTGCAAATGATAAAAAAAGATGTTCGCAAACCAACTGATATCCTGAATCAATTACACAGACGAAATGTCGAAATTTAAAAGAAGAGCCAAAAACATGGGGTTAAAAGAAAAAATTGACTTATTTATGGTTACTTAGGTGATGAATGCTGGTTGAGTATTAAAACACCAGACAACATTTGTCTTGTAACGCCATCTACCCCTTTGAAAATTACAGGCTTCAAAAGAGGAGAAAATAATGACATTTTTTATAGCGCGACATTTCAAAAATATTTATCTTTTATTTTTGAAGAGCCATTGGACTCATTATCGGCATTAGGTATATTTATTGCTGATAAGATATTATAAGATAGAGAGGAAATATCTAACATTGAAAACATTATCTACAAAATAATATCATTGCCCTTTGAAAATAAAGTTCTTTTAATGTCAATTCTTCATAGTTGCATTTAAAGTTGTAAAAAGCTAAAAAAAATCTAATTTTCTTAATATAGCCAACACTTATTATCTACACAATTCTAACTGTTATTGTGGAAGGCAGAAATCTAAAACATCTAAATGCTTGCAACAGACTTTATAATTGTAAGTAAATTTATAATATATATTTTAAAATTTTCTTAAGCCATATTACTATGTTTTTCAGACTGTGCCAAACAAATGCTCTTTTTGCATAGAACTCAAATGTAGTTTTTGTTAAATATGGTGTTTCTTCTTTATTAACAAAATTGTTTAGTTTATAGAAATGATCAACACTCAAAATCAAGTAATGGCTACTAAAATGGCTGAACAAAAAATATATAGCAACAGCTCTCAAAATTACAAAGTAAAGCATAATGTTTTTTCGTCATCATTAATTTTTCTTTTCTTCTTTATTTCATAGTGACAACAGAAGAGCAAAACAAAATAATAGTGGAAATGTTAGCAGACCAAAAATTACAGCTGCAAACCCTCAATAGTTCCCTAAAAAATGTAACTACCCCGACAAGCAAATTTCCCCTCAATTCCGAAGAATATCTTCAAAAAGTAAAGAGTAAAATATGCGATTCGAATGAAGAAAAATATGTAAGTAATTGTTGGCCTATATGGTATATATGTTGAAATGCTTCAATTTTAATGATTCATGATTAATATTTCATGATTTAACATTTTTAGATATCTGCTGTAAAGTATTTAATCAATGGCAGCGCAATAAAAAATTTCGAACGAATTATGCATAATGTACCATACGTATGGAACTTGTGGGAAAAAATGCCTGATAGATTTTAAAAGAATATATAAAATTGTTATTGCTAAGTATTCTGTTTGCGGGTTGTTTGTTCCCAAATCAAAAACAAAAATTGATTTTAATTTTTTTCATTACATTGTATAACTGTGAATTGGAGCATAATTTAAGTTTTCTTTTTAAATAGAATTTATTATTTATCTTTCCTTTTTTCATTGAAAAGTATCTGCAAAATGAATTATTTATTTATATGTTTTATACAATACACAAATACGTTGTTTAATTTCTTGTTTTTCTCTGAGTATATATATCGTTAAAACTGTTATACTTTCGTAGCTGTTCATATTAAATTCACATTAAAATAATCTATAAATTATTATTTATCATATTAAGCTTAAAATGCTAAATAAGATTAACAGTATTAAAAATATGTACACTCAGAGAAAAGCGCAAAATTAATAGACCAATTAAAGGATTGTTTTAAAAACTAGCCCTTTGGGGTACTCTATGGACTATTTTGGATTAGTTTTGAACTACCCCTGGTCTGTTATGGACTACTTTTTAGACGCGTGCATGAATTAGTCGCATTATTTGCAGGGAATAGTTACAAAGATTCAATTGTTCACTAAAACACTCAATGGCATTGTTAAAGAAGCATCTCACATCAAAATTTTGGCTCAGAGTTTAATCAATTTTGTTGATAACATTTTGTAAAATTAACATACCAAGTAACAAGAAAAACGGATTGATGGACATGTATCCATTTTTTAAACTAGCACGCACAAAAACATTCGCATGTAACTGGTACAGCACTGTACAAAAATTATCCCCTATGTCAATTAGAATATGGCTGAGTCCTATAAGAAATCCAATTTAATATTTTATCGAAATTTAAATTTTGCAAGAGTTAATAATCAAAGCCCATTGAAGTTGCACAACAACATCTATTAGTTTACGCACATTTAATAGTTTTACTTCAAAATATTTCCAGTAACCGTACAATGTATCAATTCACATTTCAAACAATTTCCAAGATCACAATAATCGTCATCAACTAAGTTCACCTGAGGGTGTTTGTCAGTTCACCTACAAGACGCGTCCGCACTGGCGGATAGGGGGGATGGATGATCACACTATTTTGCTCGAACTATGGCGTCTAGCTACGAACTGGGTGGAGCGGAATAGTGTGATCAAACGTCCCAGTGAGTTTTTACTCCCCACGGACAAAAAACTGACTACGGGGGTATTCCCCAAAAACAAAAAAAAAAACGGTGCAGGGCCTAAATAACCCAGTACCGGCGGGTGTTTGTGATCCAGCCACGAGTCACACCCTGTCGTACTCCAACGATCGTGTGCAAATTTCTCCCGCAGATGTGAGTGCCTTGGCATCTGCGGTCGAAGGTATTGCTACAAGCACGCAGCCTCCGGGCAACAAACCAGACAAAGGGTCTGAAGAACTCAGGGGAAGCATACGCTCGACCCAGCCTTCAACGACAGGTAGCGCCTCAGGTTCCGAGTCCGACAGCAGCAGCAAAAAAACTACCGTCCTGCGAATCCCTACTAAGGAAGAGGCGCACAACACGATAGAAGAAGTGAGTGAAAGCGAAGCTGTCTGGGCCCAACGGCGAAAGCTCAAAAGACAACAAAACAGCAAAAATGATAAGGCGCAGGATGTTCCAAAGGGGGCTACAAATACTGCCCCCACTCCGTTGGAGGCAGGGAAGAGAATAAGGTCCCCTGAAGAACAGAGCACTATGAAGCCGGCGAAAAAGAGCTACCCACCTGAAAGGTCCGTGAAATCTACTGCTAAATCAGGGGTTTCCGAAAAGAAATCACTTGCCCAGCAGAAGAGGAAACGGACCGAGGAAAAGGGTACGAAGCCGCCTTCTTACGCAAAGACAGCCAAAAAACGCTTGAGGGATGAAATGCATTATGCATTGATCGATACCAACAAAGGTTTAGGCAACTTGCATAAAGACCATTTGGAAGCTTTAGAGGAAATGGTCAATAAGAAAATATTGGATGACATCATGGAAGGTGGAGATCCAATACCTATCGTGAGCAGCGGAAGAATAATAAAAGTGCTCTTGAAGCTTGCTGCGCATGCTAACACTGCCTCCCTAAAGGGGATTATTGAGAAAATAAAACCCCCGTTGGTGAGGTGGAACGAAATTTCTCGCCTAACTAAAACGACGGTATACGTCAGACGATTTTGTAGCAAATTCGAGATGGAACGAATGCTCGAAGTCTTTGGAAGGCAAAATAAGACTTTGGACGTGAAGAGATGGGAAGTCTTTCACAGGGAGGAGAAGGAGGATGTGATTGGAGTTGACGATCTCTCCATGGCCAGTCTGACAAAGACTAAGGGCATGACATTCTATGTCTCGAACGCTGTCAGGTTCAAAAATAATAAGGAGATGAAGACACGAAGTGTAGCAGCGAGGAGGAGAAAGAAGACCCCTCAAGCAACACAGAAGGAGGGTGTCGGTGACAAAATTACCGACTCTCAACAAGCCCGTATACTGGAGGACCAATGATCGAGATCTTCCAAATCCACCTTCATCGGAGCGGGACGGCACCTTGACTCTGATGAAACTAATAAATTCAGGTAAGATTCACATTGGTTTTATTCAGGAACCTTGGACAGTTCAGAACAAAGTCTCTGGACAAAACCATAATAACTACTAACTATTCTATGCCAAAACAGGGTCTTGACCGAGAACTTGTATAAATGTCAAAAAAACTTATGTTTACTTTTCTCACCAGAGTTGTCAACATCGGACGCAACAGTGCTTAGGCAGGGGAATGGAAACATATACCTAGCGTCAGTATACCTACCGTTCGACGCGCCGATATTACCCCCTTCATCGGAACTGCAGCGGCTTGTGAGCAAAACATAACAAACTGGTAACGAAGTACTTGTATGTGGAGATGCTAACTCTCACCACATTGCGTGGGGTAGTACTAACATTAATAAAAGTGTCCAGTTCCTACCAGATTTTCTAAATACTAACGACCTAATAATTCTTTGTAAACAAAATTAGAGCGGAGGTTTTAGACATTACCTTTTGTTCAGGAAATCTTATAAACGAGATTCAGAATTGGAGGGTTTCGGAAGAACACCCTTTCTCGGATCATAGGTATATAAGGCTTGAACTAACACGGCTCCCGCCGAACCCAATACGTTTCCGGAACAAATCCCAGACTGACTGGATGAAGTATAGGAGACTAGTAAAAGAGAAGCTAGGGCAGGAAATTGAATGTCTAAGCACAGACGACGTAGACAGAGATGTCAATAGGTTAACGGAGAGCCTTGTAAAGTCTTTCGAGGAATGCTGTCCACTTCGAGAGAGGAAATCTGCCTACGAAAAACCCTGGATGGCAGGGGAAATTCGTAAAAAAGAAAAAGAAGTCAGAAGGCTTTACAACAGAGCTTGTTCACTTCGGGAGAGGAAATCTGCCTACGAAAAACGCTGGATGACAGGGGAAATTCGTAACAAAGAAAAAGAGAAACCAGCAGTATTCTGGGACAGCTACCATAACAAACTTAAAGAATACAACAAAATAGTAAGAACAGTTAAACGAAGCACCTGGAAGATTTTCTGCGAATAGGTTGATTTCGTGAATGATGTCTCAAAAATAAAAAAGTTTCTTTCAAAAACCCATACACAAGCCGAGACAATGGTGGATGATATGGTTGCGACTGAGGATGCACCTAAAATTGATGAATCTATGGTAAAGGAAGCCGTCAGAAGTTTCAAACCGTTTAAGGCAGCAGGACCAGATATGGTCTTCCCGGCTCTGCTCCAAAACGAAGTGGACATTATCTCGTCCAACTTAGCCGGAATTTTCAACTCGTGCCTAAAGTTTGCGTATACCCCTAAAGCCTGGCAGGAATCGAGGGTAGTTTTTATACCCAAACCTGGGAAGGCAAGCTACGCAATACCCAAGTCTTATTGACCGATAAGTTTAACATCATTCTTACTCAAAACCATGGAACGTACAATCGACACCAACAGCAGAATTGCAAACGATATTCTCAAATAAAAGGAGCATGTATACGTTAAAGGACGTTCATTGGAAACCGCATTACATGAGGTTGTACACCACATCGAGAGCACCTTCGGTAAGAAGATTTATACACTAGCAGTATGCATTGACATCAAAAGTGCGTTCAACAATGTCAGCACAGATACACCCGTCCAATCCTTAGATAAGGTCGACCGGGGCCTAAGACACTGGATAAACCACATGCTAATGAATAGAGGGATAAGCTGTGGGCTATATAAAGTTAAAATAAGGGACAAAGTAGGTCAAGGAACTCCACAGGGAGGGATATTATCACCCCTCCTGTGGCTTACTACCATTAACAGTCTTCTAAGGACATTAACCTATGTAGGCTTTGAACCAGTCTGTTATGCAGACGACGTTATAATACTTCTGAGGGGAAAGAACCCTAACTTGCTGTGCAGAAGGGCCGAGTCGACTCTGAAACTTGCATACAACTGGGCCAGACTGGGATGTCTTAACGTCAACCCGGAAAAAACTGAGATATGTCTATGTTCATTAGGAAAAGAAAACTGGGCCATATCGTTGAACCGGTCTTCCTGAACAAGACGATCAATATTTCCAATAAGGTTAAATATCTGGGTGTGATTCTAGATAGGAAACTTAATTGGAGGGACCACATCCAAGAAAGAGCAAACAAAGCTCATATATGTTGGGCAACTTGTAAAAGGGCTACAGCCTCTAAGTGGGGTTTCAATCCAAAGATGACACACTGGCTGTTTAAAAGCGTAATTAGAAACTGTTGTTAACCAGACGGCTCAATGCCTGGGGAGAGAGCGGGACTGGGACTTTTTATCGAGGATACAAACACCAAAATCTCTTTCCGCGTGTCCGATCACAATACGATCCTGGAAGCGGAGGTCCGGGCGATTGCAGAGTGTCTGAACTGGGTTAATGCCAACACGAGACCGGCTACGTGCTAACGGACAGCAAGTCAGCTATAAGGGCTATAACATCCAAAACCGTAGCTTCAAAAACTTTTTTGGTATCTATAAATTTAATCAACAACTACTCTCAACACGGCGTAGTACGCATTATATGGGTACCAGGTCATACGGGAGTTAGGGGTAACGAGATAGCAAACTCTCTCGC